AATTTAAATTGTATCTACATAGATCTTAAATTCTAAATTATGCAAACACTAACTAACACTTCCCATAAAAAAATTGAAATTTATTAAAAAAACAAAAACAATTTTTTTTTTAATTTAAAAAAAAAAAAAAAAAAAGAGAAAACATTGAAACGACATAAAGCCCCTGAAACCCATTTCCAATTAAATCTCTGATCAGTGAATACAAATTAAGTAGAGGACAACTGCTCCACGTTGGCTAGGGTACCTGCTGGTCGGATATGCCTGGCCAGAGAAATGATTCCAACTCGTTAATAATTAACTATCCGACAATTGCACTGCACTGAATTTCAATTTCCAACTCGCTCATTACAACTCCATGAAATACCGAATTTATATTTAATCAGTCGCAATTCACTTTTGATAACTTGCATTACCTATTTATTTCTCAATTAGTTTGCAGCACGTTAAGCACCCTCGCTGAGCCTTAATGCCGACTCTCAGCCATAATATTTCAGCGCATTATGGCCATAATTGCACACTGAAAATGCCAGACATTAATAAATCACATTGTCTCGGATAAGGCCCCCCCTGGAAGGGAGTGGGAGCGAGAGGGCGGGGCGAGTCGCTTGCACTGCTGCACCAGTTTGCAGGTCTTTCCCCAGTTCAGTCTACTTTCTGGCTGGAGTGAAGAAAATATCACGTGTAGCACAGTTAGGTGGGGCACACGCCCACAGTTCCCGTTTTAGCCAGAAGCGGCGAGCTAACCTCAAAAGGCAAGGTAAAACGTACGCCTCAAATGCTTTCCGGTACTAAAGCAAACACACACACTACAACAACAACAAGAACAACAACAACAGCAGTGGGTGGCGGGCAGAGAGAGTTTGGTTAGAGTTAGAGAGTTAACTCTAATATGAGAGCACATGAGAAACTTCTTGAACAGAAAACACGACAACAACAACAACGACAACAACAACAAATTGAAACAACTTCGCAGCACTGCGCATGGTTTGCTTTTGTTGTGGTTTTTTGCTTTGTTAACTTTCGGTCGCATTGCTATGACATTGGCGCCCAGCTCTGGCGAGGGGGCGTGCCGTGAAAAAACTACAAAATATATATATGTGTATATGGGCAGCCCTTCAAGCCGGGCCAAAAGTCCAGGCAATCAGTCGCTGGTTGTCAGTCAAACAAAACGCTCTCTCTCTATGTCGTACAGGTCGCACACCTTTGACGACCTGTGAAAGCAATAAAAAAAATAATATTAATTTCGTTGGCAAATTCCTTGTGGTGCCTTGGTCAAAAGGAAAACATATTGATCGGTCCATCTGGCCAATTGCCACATCAACTAGCGCATGGTGTGTATGAAAGGCGAGCTGAACTCTTTTTGCTGCCAGCTTTGCATTCATTTCGAGATCGCATTTGTAAAACTCTCATCAAATCTATTTCCCACTCCACGCACAATTCCAATTTATCAAAAACTAGTGGCAAATACGTCAAATTATAGCCCGATGGATACCCAATAGGTAAGTGATCCGTTGGGCAACTGGCAAGCCTCAATTGCTTTATACTCTCTCTCTGTTCTATTTTCTTTAATATATTTTTGTATACATATATTATTTTTTTTTTTTTTTGGTTCATTTTTTTATTGTTCCATTTGCACTTGTACCTTGTGAATATTCAATTTGATTGCATTTTCCTATGTTTATGTGCCGCACACATGTTTCCATCGTAAAGTTCAGTTACCTCGGGCCTGACATTGAGACGCCAGCGAAATGTTGCTTGATTTTTCTATTCCGCGCTTATCAGACCTGAAACATCAGCAGAAATCCTAGAGTTGCATGCAGAGTACGCCATTTTGATGGAAAAGGACACGCATTAGCATTGCTTAGCCAGCGAATCGATTTTAGC